ACATTGATTTCTTACTAAATGAATTTCTAATAGGGTATTAGAAATTCATTTAGTAAGAAATCAATGTCAAACTTCACAGAATTGCTGTTGGCGTTTCTAACCAGAAAGCTTTTAAAAGTGAAAAAATTGGTCCATTACCACATTTTATCGTTTTAAAAGCATGCTTATTGCAGGATGCTCCCTCTGTGAATGTTGTGCACACGTCGTGAAGATCCTTCTATTGTCAAATATTGCCTAATTCACCCCAACATCACATCTGCTCGAGGTTAAAGCTCGGCCCTGGCAAGCGTGCAATCATAGAAGTAGGTGCATTTTAAGCATACAGAAGAGATGAATAATGGCTGTGCCAATGTCTTAAGCAAGGTCCACATCCCCATTGTACTGGCCAAATTACTGCAGACCGATAAGGTCTGCTTCGAGTTGAAAGGCAATCTATCACTGCAATTTACAAGGACTAACTTTAACTACCTACTAAGTTTTAGGCGGGTTTGCCGTCCCAACTTCCCATTCTTCAGGTGATCACTCAGGTTGCAGTGATGGAGAAGGAGAATCTGTGACTGGGGACAAGGATGGAGTAAGCAGAGCTACTGCACCGCTTGCTAGGCATGCACAAACAAGAACGCGATGGAGGAGCCACTGCCAGTAGATCCACATGGATTGGGCAGTGGATGCATGTTAAAGCCTGGACAGGGGGCACTGGATTCGTGCGGCAGGCCTGACAGTGCATGTCAATGCTTCTGGCAGAACATGTGGCCATACGTCGATTACCTTCATCACTGTAATAGACTTCATCATCAGCTTGCATCTACTCGTCCTGCTACTCAATTCATCATTCCAAATTTGGGTTAAATTTGGTGGTTTGTCTCAACTTAAAGTGACACTGACACATTAGTTGTCTTTCCACAAATTCCAACTAATGTCAACTACAGCAATATCAAATAGTCAACTAAGGTGTTCCCTTGTTCACCACTTGTTGGAGTGACCAGAACCTCAAGACAAATGCACAAGAAAGGGTGAATGGGGAAAGTCAACGGTAAAGTAGGATTTCAAGCGGTAGACTTTTCCATCACTCATCCCCATTGTGATACCTTGTCCTCGTGGCCTGCACAGAGTGCTATGCGGACCAATCTGTCTCAAAGGGGCTAAATACAACCAAAGAAGAGGGGACGTGATTGGTGATTACACATTGAAATATGTTGGCAACAGCCACTGCAAGTGTGTGTGTGTGTGTGTGTGCGAGTCCTAAGTAGGATTACTAAATTATACTGATAATCTAGAATTACTTATGGGTGGATACACTTCCTTTGGTGCAAAAATTATTGGGGCTCCCGCGAACTCCTTCAGTGCACTAGCCAGGCCACAATATACACACTTCCTCAATGACCCTTCTAAAATACATCTGTTTCAAGGCTTCTACAACATCATGATCGTGCCTTGATTTGCAAGCGCTCCTCTTTTCTTTGCATTACATTACATCCACAGAGCTGCAAAAGCACTACCAATTCTACTGCTACGCACATTCACTGGCCCCGTGGGGAGTGCATCCACTCTCCTCCATAACATATCATGGGCACTTCCTTCCACTTCAGGTGGCAATGTCAATCACCTGCTGCCGGTCATATTTTAGTGCTGGTAATGGTTCCCGGTCGCGTAGGCCATTTCCCATGGAGTGGACGACAAACTCCACAGGAATGCTGACTGCATTCGAATGCATTCGAATACGGTCCTTGCATCTAGGATAGGTGGATGGATGCATGGATGGATGGATGTGTCCATGTAGATTAAACAGATGAAGATATGCAGCAAGCAATGCGTTCACTTTCGAATATGGTATGGATAAACGAATATTGATTTGACGGAGAGGTGGAGTAAAGTTGGACAGTTGAAATTCACTGATGAAGCCATCAAGAATGCTCAGGAGGGTGAAACTCCTTCACACCTCGTAGCCCGCAAATCGCACACCTTGATGTGTAATTGTAGAACCCCAACATATTGACAAAATACTTAATACATTCACTTTTGAGATGAAAAAGCCTTTACACTTACACTTACTCTGAAGGAGGGTAGATTCAATTTAATTACAGAATGGTGGCATAGATCATCAGTTCTGGTTTGAATGACCAAGCAAAGTCGTCCAAGAATGACAAGAAGAGCAAAAGACATTTAGTAGAAGGCGCCACATTCTCATCCTCCTTTCCCTCCTACCGCCTTATAGCATCGCAGTGAAGGCGTGTCCCTCATAAACGATGTGCAATTGATGCTTGATTAACACTGTTTAATCCGCGATTTCGGAATTCATTCTTCAAACGCTTCTCGTACCACATAGATACGATTCAATCAAATCCAAAGTCGGCACATTTCACAGCAGGAGCTCACCTGTTTGGATAAATAACTACCGACGCAAATCATACCAGCAGGCATGACGACGATCTGCAGCTAGAATTGCCAATTATTCACAGAACCCGATGTACAGGTGGATATCAGAAAGGAAACGAGAGGATAGTGCAACTATGACACGAAGGCTCGGTCGAGTTAGTTAATGGTGAATAGACAAAAGAGATCGTACAGATCTCGCTGCTCCAATACAAAACTTTGAAATGAGAAAATGGGAAAGTTACAATAATGGTGAAAAGATAAAATACCCATACTTCATGACAACTCACTGGCACCACCCATCGAGCAGTAAAGCGTTTGATAAGTGAGAGATGGAATACCGGAATCAATTGATGGAGAATCAGATATGGATGGATGGATGAATACGGGACGTGTGCATAAATGTATAAACTCGAGATGAATTAAAGTACAGTTGACTTAGATTTGGATGTGTACAACAATGATTGAAGGAGTTTATTCTAGATAGACGCAAATAGCCTGGCTGAATGTTGCACTGATGGCTCTATGAGAAATTGTATGATGGAGGAATTTTATCGCTAAAATAATGATCCTGCGATAGATATCCTCAAGGGTCTTTCACACATTTAACAGCCTCACCCCTTTAATGGTTTCGTGTATTCGCGCGTCTCATATGCGAAATGGCACAGTTTACACCTCCTCGATTGACCAATTTCAGATCAACGTTAAAAACATCTCCCGTGAACATACTTCATGCTTCCACCACCTAAGCACGGCGCAATCAATCACCCACAGGAATCCAATGCCACATTAAACAACAATTAATTAAAATGGTGGCAGATTTGGCAAAAGAGAAAACCATAACTGGGAATGCTGGTCGTCGATCCAATACTTGCAACACTTCCGGTTCCGTGCGATAGTAGGTGTGGAGAAAGAGGAAGCAGTTAAGGAGTTGGATGAAGATGACTGTAACGTTTCGTCACTTGCAGTGAAAAGTCAAAGGAAAGAACAAGTAGTGTAGTGAATCGGCCACATGCCTTTCCAATGAAGCCTCGTGGGTGGCTTTGTTCTCCCTCCACTACTTTGGTCGTCTACTGCGTGAATTGCATATCAATCAATCATCACATCTCCTTAATTCACAAAACTCACTACTCCACATTCCAAAGAACTACCGCGCTCCTACTCAAGGTGTTCCAGTCTTCAACGAATAGGCGGCAATTTGTCACCCAGAATGTCACAACTTGATGCACACTACCAGGATTGCCAATCCCATGTCCACAAAGCATTTGGTCTTCGTGGAAATTCATCTATCCGTCCACTACAATGAGCTTATGTCCTGTCAAATAAACCAATGTCTGTTGCCATAGCAACACAACCAATCACGAGACGGGTGTTTTTACGAATGCATTATTATGGATAAGGAAGCGCCATCAGACAATAGTCAAAAGCATCTGCAAACATAAACTCCCATCAAGAATGCACAAACATTTGCTGACGTATGACGAGCAAATTAGCTCGCACTGTGTATGCAGCGTTTAACAAGGCCCTCTTATGTGCATTTAAATTCTCTTATTCAACGGCAAAATGAAACACCTAATGTAAGGTGTCCCAATGCAAATTGTCACAGTTCTGCATTAGTAATCAAAAGTAAGAAAGAGGAAGGTGTGAAATGGGAACAACGCTTACCAATTGCCCACTGGCTGCTGTGTCCATATTGACTTGCACATATGTTAATGTCAAAACATGCACGAATTTCCTCCCAACTAATGCAGAAGGCATCCACATCCCCACTGAACTCTTAGCTACAGGTCACCTATCATAATAATGACAACATGGGATGTTGAATAGGGATTGGACAAAATGACTGCACGGAGGATTTTTACAATTTCGATACATACAAATAAGTGCAGTCTAACAAAATATTTTGAAGCAAAAGATGACAAAGTTAATTGCGAAATTACAACCTAGTGACTACATATGCTTTAAATTTTAGGGATATTTCATCTGTCTTGTGTTCCACGGGAGTCAACATATCATAGCAAGTAGACAAAACTAAGTGTACAAAACTCTGATGACCCAAAAAATGTAAAACTTGTCAAAGGCAATGCAAGCAAACAGTAAATTTACTAAAATCACTTAAATACACCTGTTAAAATTGTCAAAAGCAATGTATGCAAATGATAACTTACTTAAAACCCTATGCACACACAAACATTGTTGGTGTACAGCATTTTGCCCATCAAACTCCACAGAGGGCATTTATCTATGGCTCACTGCATTACATCAAACTATAGCACAAATTTGAGAATGCAAATGGTCGACGAAACTTAGGACAATGAGTAAACACCACCCTGCACACTCAAACAAGCAGCCGTGTAGTTGAAAAAATCTGATTAGAAAATAAATTTTCTTGTGTTAGTATCAATAAGCTTTAATTGCGTTGCGACAAGCCCCATGTCATGATGATTACCTAGCATGCAAGCCTAGGAATATGACGCCTTTTTGATACAAGATTTACCACTAAATCAAGAAGTGATCCTTGAAGGTATATTGTCCTTCACCTATTGCGCATTCAACGTCAAGCGTATTTGTTAATGCATTCTAATAAATATGCACCAACATGGCTTTTTCTCGTGCACTACTGATGAGACCATGTATTTGCTTCACAGGTGCAGTTTTGCAATGCATTAAAAATAGTTTTTAAGGTTGAATAGTTATCCATTAACAACTCTGCGACTGCTTATTTTAAAGATGTCTCTTAATCTGTCGTGTTTTCCTTCTGATTCGATTATGAAATTGTTATACTACGTCGTGAACCTACAGATATTTTGTGTGCCCCTAATCTGGCATTTTTAGCTTTTCTTCCCATCTCACCGGAGAAGCATTCCACTAATCTAATGTTTCCTCTGCTGTTTGTCATTTTTTACAATACACAAGTGCGAATGAAATTGTCCGGGTTGCTGAAGCGAGATTGGTCAGTGCCCATTTGTCCGTTCGAAACTCGTGTGTGCAGACATTGTGGCCGTCGCCCTACTTTGAGGTTACTCGGTCGTGCGAACGTAGTTGTGGAAATCAACACTTGCATTTGTATACTATTTGGATAGAGTAAGGAAGTAACTAGTAATAACTACTTTTTGCGTCCATATTACTTACTGGCTGGGGTTGTTGTGCCCTCCTCGTGTTTCATTCATGTGTGCTAGATTTTCTTTAAAATTTCTGCCTTGTTTTTAGGTTGTATTCTTTTCGCCATGCCGGTGTTTTGTTGATGCTACTTGTTGGGAGAGATTTAGGGGGATATCATCGAAGGGCAAATGCCTTCTCATTGACTTAACCTCACATATGCTTGATGCTGCATTGCTTCCGTGCCTTTATCTACTGGTATTCACACAGTACCTTCTCACTTTGCAGCTCTTTGATGTTATTTTTAGGGATAGGCCGCCAAATATCAGTGAAGTGTTTTCTTTCAGTGATGATTTTCAATGGTGCCCTGAGGCAACGCCGCATCGACAGGAATACTTCTGCTTTGCATCCAGGTAAGATTCAGCACCTGCATGGAGGCACACAATAAAAGGGCCTTTATTTGTTCTCGAAAGAAGGGGGTAAGTGGGGACTAGGAGATTTACTGACCAAATGTTGAAGTGCAGATTTTGTGGTCGTGAGGATGTGGCAGGTTTGTTGTCTTCCAAAATTCCGAGTTTTGTGTTGTTGAGCGTAGTTCCTTGGGTGTGATTTGGATGGAATATGTCAGGATATATTGCAATCAAGAATTAGGCCCATTCACCTGTTCTTGCTGTTTCCTTTCGTTCCAGGTGCACTGAACAAGGAATCATCTCGCTAAACGTAGCAGCTGCTACAGAATCGACATTTTGTCTTCCCTGTGCATACGGTCGTTGTTCAAGCCGTAGTAGCAGACTTTGTTCAAATAAAGTGGTGTTATCGAGTAAAACCCTACTGGATTTGATAATTTTTGCGTGATTTGATAGAGCTTGCCACCTCCAATATTCAGTTATCTGATTTGACGCCTCCGGATGTAGGGAGGTGCGGGGGAGTGTTGAAGCCTGCAAAGGAGACGGGGTGAAACAACTGCGACTGGTTGGTCCTTTCGAATGTCGTGTAATTGAGCCGCAGCAATTCTCGCTTCGTGATTGCTGGCGGGCCGTTTCAAATTCGGATTGTGCCACTGTCTTCTTTGGTGTCAATTTAACCGACGATGTGAGTCGCGACTGTCCTGATTTGTCTGTTTACTGAATAGCATAAGAAGGGCGTTGTTTTCAATCGTCTTCACAAGAACTGCAAGTATGGTCGACGGAGCACGATGGCGTGGAGATTTTTGAAGTGCAGGCTGAAGTTAAGTTTGCAAGCTAAGGCAAATACGATTGGTCCCAGCACCTTACCTGTGATGGATTCGCTAGTGGAGTGAGTGGAGCGACGGTGTTCAACAACGTGTACGCCTAAATTTGTGACTGCGGTCAAGGGATGCAGCTGGATTTTGTCATATTTTGAGAGCGGTTACGCCTACTCACACAGATGATGGATTTGAGTGACATTGTTTACGTTTTGAATTTACGTATTCCATCTGACGCACTTAAGTACCTGTCAAACTGATCGAAAGTTGTGTGTGTAGAAGTGATATTTCATTGTAAATGGCACTTTTTGGACGCTTTCGATTGTAAATAACTTGAATTTAATGATTTCTAACACTCATGGGATTTGTCACTTCCTCGATATTCACTCACTATCGTTTGAGGAGTTGGGACTTGCATTCCGTACACCCATTGACGGTGTTAACACAGTCAAGCCCATTCACATACACGTATGCCTTAGGTAAAGTAATTCCTGAAATCGTAGGATAATCACCTTCCGCCCTTAAAAACATCCTGTTAATGGAGTGGTGCAAGTGGAAGGCCAAACTGCCTACGTGATTCTCGATGACTGCCGAAGAAGTAACGAGGCATGAGTCAGTAAGTTGGCACAGCCGGAGTAGTATAGGCAGTCAGGGTGAATCAAGGGTCACGTGCATCTTGAGAGAATTGTTAAAAACTAACTGAAACTCCACACCTGAAGTGCACATTTGGATAGTTGGTTTAGGGATAAAGAGCCGACTTCTGCATGATAAAGTCGTTTGTTTCCCCGATTTTGGCGTTTGCACGTTAAGTTGGGTCGTTTAAACCAATGTTTTGACGTTTAATGGTAGTTTAAAAAAAAAAAAAACGAAATCAACTGCCGCTTCGTAAGGTCTAGAGACAGAGGGATGCATAATTCCC